TAGTCGTAGTCGTAGTAGTAGCAGTAGCAGTAGCAGTAGCAGTAGCAGTAGCAGTAGCAGTAGCAGTAGCAGTAGCAGTAGCAGTAGCAGTAGCAGTAGCAGTAGCAGTAGTAGTAGTAGTAGTAGTAGTAGCAGCAGCAGCAGTAGCAGCAGTGGGGTCCGAGTCGTAGTAGTAGTAGTAGTAGTAATAGTAGTAGCAGCAGTGGCAGTAGCAGTAGCAATATAAGTAGAAGGATCAGTTGGAGTAGAAGTAGTAGTAGTCGTCGTAATGGTGAGAATGTTGGCATCCCTCGGGCGTTTGTGTTTTTCTTGCCGAGGCCAGCGCCTGAGAATGTTGACCATCGAGGAGCAGGTTGGAGCACCGTGCGAGAAACACATAAACGCTCGTAAATTGAACCATGCACGGAAATTGCCGTCGTAGTATGAGTAGTCTGAGTAATCTTCGTAGTAGCAGCGCTGGTAGATGTAATAGCAATAGCAGTTGCAGCCGCTTCTGTAGGAGAAGTGGAGAGAGCAGTAACAGCAGCAGTGGTAGCAGTAGTGGTGGTAGTGGTGGTGGTGGTGGTAGTGGGAGTGGTAGTGGTTGTTTGTAGTGGCAGTGGTAGCCGTTGTGGTAATCGTGGTAGGTGTGCTGGTCGTACTAGTAGTAGTAGTAGTAGTAGTAGTAGTAGTAGTAGTAGTAGTAGTAGTAGTAGTAGTAGTAGTAGTAGTAGTAGTAGTAGTAGTAGTAGTAGTAGTAGTAGTAGTAGAAGTAGTAGTAGTAGTAGTAGTAGTAGTAGTAGTAGTAGCAGTAGTAGGTAGTAGTAGTAGTAGTAGTAGTAGCAGTAGTAGTAGTCGCAGTAGCAGTAGCAGTAGCAGTAGCAGTATGTAGTAGTATAGTAGCAGTAGTAGTTGTAGCCAGTAGTAGTAGTTGTAGAAGTAGAAGTGGAAGTAAAACTAGAAGTGTAAGTAGTAGTAGAGTAGTAGTAGTAGTAGTAGTAGTAGTAGTACTAGTCGTAGCATAGTAGTAGTAGTATTAGTCGGTAGTAGTGTAGTGGTAGTGGTAGTGGTAGCAGTAGTAGTAGTAGTAGTAGTAGTAGCAGTAGTAGTAGTAGTAGTAGTAGTAGTAGTAGTAGTAGTAATCCTGGTAGTAGTAGTAGTAGTAGTAGTAGTAGTAGTAGTAGTAGTAGTAGTAGTCGTAGTCGTAGTGGTAGCAGTAGTAGTAGTAGTAGTAGTAGTAGTAGTAGTAGTAGTAGTAGTCGTAGTAGTCTTCATGGTATTTGTCGTAGTAGTCAAAGTATTCGTAGTGACCGTAGAAGTCGTCGCAGTGGTTTTAGTAGTAGTAGTAGTAGTAGTAGTAGTAGTAGTAGTAGTAGTAGTAGTAGTAGTCGTAGTTGGAGGAGTAGCAGTAGTAGTAGTAGTAGTAGTAGTCGTCGTCGTCGTCGTCGTAGTAGTAGTAGTAGTAGTAGTAGCAGTAGTAGTAGGAGGAGGAGGAGGAGGAGGAGGAGCATCAGGAGTTATTTCCAAATGCTTTCTACCAAAAGAATGTGGGCCTCGATCAGTTGCAAAGCCGAGACCCCCCCCCAGAGACACCCAGAAGAAGTCTTCCAACACGGACGCAGGCCTGGGCGTCTGGAATTCGTCCGAGGAGCGCCGAAGCATCAGATACCGGTAAGATCTCAATGAATCACGGTTCAACGCAGTTCGCGCTCGTCCTTCTTGTTCCTCTCGTCTCGTTGATTTTTCGTCGGTTTTCGTTGGTGAACCCCAAGCGGTTGTCTTCCAGGCGGACGACGGCGTGGTCGTTCGTTTACCGGCGACAACGTGTTTTGTATTTAACGGTCTTGTTCATAGTCGCCTCGTGATTGGAAAGGGTTGTGCACGACCGTTCCTGGGTACGTGTTTCATCACGTTTCCCCGCCACAAGCGGTGTCGATGTTTAACCTCTATGCAGCAAGGCGTGTTTCAAAAAACCCTGAAGGAATTCCCCCGTAAACCCTGGAACTAGCAAAGGAGCATTCAAACAAAAACAATGCATACATTTAATTGGCACACACACAGAAAAGGAATCGATGTTTGACCCCCCACACATGCTTAAATTCAGTGTGGGATAACAGATACACAATCAAGTTGTGGAAGGCTGGAACATGTAAATAACACAAGAGATAAATTTGGCAGCTAACGTATTCAATGTTGAATCAGCCGTAACTCAAATGGTCGCCACAGCGAATGCGTTTGTAATCAAGCCCTCCAGACATTGAGCGTTCGTCGGGTTACTCTTGTTCATACCTCTTACCTTCCGTTCCTCCTCTTCTAGTGCGATTAGGCTTGGCCTGCTCGAATCGCCCCATCCCCCCCTCATATCTCACACACGCGCACACACGGCGTCCCTTGCCTTCAATCTTTCCGTTGTCATCCGTTTGTGCGTGTTGTTCCGTGCCGAAGGCATCTCGTGGAGCCTTCAGATCGTGTTTTCTTCCCCAGCCGCAAGGCACATTGGCGCAGGTGTGCTCCCCGTCCGCCCTCTTGGCCTCCCACCCCACTTCTCGTGCTCACTCGCACAGCGCGCTTAGTACAGCCAACTCGCATAGTAAGCATGAGCGCCTTTTTGGTTCAAGGGTACCCTTGCATCCTTGCCTCCTCGGCTCATCCTTGGCCGCTTCGCTGGCCGCACCCCGCTCGCAGAGTGCAGACATGGCCTTCCAGGGCCTTTGCATCCTTGCCGCGCATCCTTCTGATACGGGTCGGTGGGTGATAACATGGACACGAAGGGGTCACTCGTCCGTTCGCTCCTCCTCCTCCTCCTCCTCCTCCTCCTCCTCCTCCTCCTCCTCCTTGGCATCCCCCGCGGGCCTGCCGCAGGCCCTCTGGCGCAGGTGTGCTCCCCGCCCATCCCCCTCGCCCTCCCGCCCCACTTCTCGTGCTCGCTCGCACAGCGCGCCCAGTAGCTCGGTGGGTGGCACAGCATGGACCGCGAAGGGATCACTCGCCCAGTCGCCTCATCCTCCTCCACCTCCTCCTCCTCCTCCTCCTCCTCCTCCTCCTCCTCCTCCCCCGTTCTCCTCCTCCTCCTCCTCCTCCTCCTCCTCGACATCCCCCGCGGGCCCGCCGCAGGCCCCGTGCCCTCCGCTGCCCGCGGCCGAGGCACGCGGCCGCCTTCCCCGACGCGCTCGCGGGCCCCTTCCCCTCCCGTGGGCCTGGCCCCCTGCAGCGCGCACGGCTCTGGGCCCCGCCCTTCCAGGGCCTGGGCCCTGGGCTTACGTCGGGCGCGTCCCTCTGCGGGAGGCGCGTCCAAAGATAGCCAGCAAGACTCGACCTTCCTGCTGCCATCGCTGGCTATCTTTGAGCACTTTGTGGGCTGCTCGTCGCTGTGCTTCCAAAACCCGCCCCGAGCTGACCCTGGGGGCGGGGGGCTCGTGCGCGCTGCCCGCCCCTCCGGGGCGGACCGAGCCCGGCCGCCTCCCGGCTCCCGCTCGCTCGCGAGCGCCTTGCGCTCGCGCTGGCAGCCGCGCGGGCGCGGGCGAGTTCCCGTCGGCCCGCGGCAGAGACCCGGGGGGGAGCCGCGGGGCGACATGCAAAGCAACCCCGATCCATCCATCCCCACGTGCTCGTTTTTTTATTCCTCGTTTAGCCGATCGGGGCGGGCCCCAAAACCTCCTCTCCACCCCCAAATGAGTAGATTTTGGCTGTATTTTGGTGCCTGTTTCGAGCAGGTGGGGTGTCCCCCAGAGGCCGCAGTCTTGCAAACAGTCGTACTAAGCAGAGGTCTGCAGCCAGACCCCCCCGCATTCCCCGCGTCCTCACCCCCTGGTCCAGATGACCGCGGCGCAGCCGGGCACAGCACGAAAGGACGAAAGAACGCGGGCTCTTCTCCTTTTCTCCTTGACGTCTCCCTCTCCCTGCGCTCGCACTGACAGCCATTTTGGCGCAGGCAAGCCTCGAATAAGAAAAACGGCATAAACATAAAACCTTCGAGGCTCCGCGGGTATTTCTTGGACCTGCGCTGGACCCCCCTCCCTGCGCGCTCCGCGCGCCAGGGGCGGCGTCAGAGGCGGCGCCAGAGGCGGCGCCAGGGGCGGCGCCAGCGCGGATCCAAGAAACCCGCGCGGAGCGCCAAACTTTTATGCTTACGGCGTTTTCTCTTCTTCGAAAGTTTCCGCTGGCTCTCGGCAAAGACTGGGGGGAGCGGCGGCAGGATGCGGCGGCAGCAGAGCGGCGCCAGCACCACCACGCGCACCAGCACCTACGCGGGCCGCGCGAAGGGCAGCCAGGGGCTGACCGCGCAGGAGCACGGAAGGAGGGAAAGCGGAGGAGGGGGAGGAGGGGGAGGAGGAGGGGAGGAGGAGGAGGAGGAGGAGGAGGAGAGGAGGAGGAGGAAATGGAGAAGGAGGAGGAGGAGGGGGAGGGAGGAGGAGGAGGAGGAGGAGGAGGAGGAGGAGGGGAGGAGGAAGAGGAGGAGGAGAGGAGGAGGAGGAGGTGGAGGAGGAGGAGGGAGGACAGGAGAGGAGGAGGAGGAGGAAGAGAGGAAGAGGAGAAGGAGGAGGGAGGAGGAGGAGGAGGAGGGAGGAGGAGGAGGAGGGGGAGGAGGAGGAGGAGGAGGAGGAGGAGGAGGAGGAGGAGGAGGAGGAGGAGGAGGGGGAAGGGGAGGGCGAGGGGAGGGCGAGGCGAGGCGAGGGCGAGGGCGGAGGGGAGGGGGAGGGCGAATGCGAGGGCGAGGGCGAGGGCGATGGCAAGGGCGAGGGGGACGGGGACGGGGAGGGGGAGGAGAAGAAGAGGAGGAGGAGGAGGAGGAGGAGGAGGAGGGGAGGAGGGGGAGCGGAGGAGGAGGAGGAGGAGGAGGAGGAGGAGGAGGAGGAGGAGAGGAGGAGGAGGAGGAGGAGGAGGAGGAGGGGGAGGGCGAGGGCGAGGGCGAGGGCGAGGGCGAGGACGAGGGCGAGGGGGAGGGCGAGGGCGAGGGCGAAGGCGAGGGCGAGGGCGAGGGGGAGGGCGCGAGGGCGAGGGCGAGGGGGACGGGGAGGAGGAGGAGGAGGAGGAGGAGGAGGAGGAGGAGGAGGAGGAGGAGGAAGGAGGAGGAGGAGGAGGAGAGGAGGAGGAGGAGGAGGAGGAGGAGGAGGAGGAGGAGGAGGAGGAGGAGGAGGAGGAGAGGAGGGAGGAGGAGGGGGGGGAGGGGAGGAGGGGGAGGAGGGGGAGGAGGAGGAGGAGGAGGAGGAGGAGGAGGAGGAGGAGGAGGAGCAGCAGGAGGAGGAGGAGGAGGAGGAGGAGGACGAGGAGGAGGAGGAGGGCTGACCGCGCGCGAAGGGCTACCAGCAGCGAGGGGGGAGAGAGGCGGCAACACACGACACTGTCGCTCCTGACTCTGCGCAGTGCAGGAAGAGAGGGGACAGGGCCAGGAAGGCGAGCCGCACTTCCCCTCTTCTCTCCGAAACACTACCGATGCCCGAACGACCTGTACCTGCATGGACGGGGACATGGCCCCGGGCTGGTACGCCGACATGTGCCCACGGGAGCCGTGGCCCGCGGATTATATTTGGGACGGGGGAGGAGCTCATTTCTTCCTCATCCTCTCCCCCCCCCCTCTTCACTCCTCACGAGCGCGGCAGGAGAGGCAGGCTTGGGACGAAGATCCATCGTTCCAGCGCGTTCCGTGACGCTGTGGAGCATCCGCCGCCTCCGATGTCTCCTCCATGCCCGCCGGCTCTCAGAAATTTCTGGTTTGCGCCATCCCCTTGATGTATTTCCTGTGTGTTCGTCTCTCGGCGGCAAGCGAGGAGTGGAAGTGAGAATGAGCGGGCCTTCTTAGAAAGCTCGGTAGTTCCCCGTCCTTCTGAGCCTTCCCCGAAGACACAGAAAGCTCCCAGGAGGCGCGAAGGCTTCTTAGAAGTCCCGCCGCCGTCTGAGAAGGTCTTCTCCTTCTCCCTTCCCCCCTCGCTCGCCGCCGAGTCTCAGAAACGGGATGAAACGGGATGAGGAGAAACAAGATCTACCAAGAGTGTAGGAAGGAGACGCTCCTTCTTGTCCGCCTCACCTATCATTCGTGATTCGCCACCTCGTGGTTCTCCCGCCCGCCCCTTCACCACGGGAATGACGGAATGCTAGCACATATTCATACGCATGTCTGTGTCCGAAATGCACGTTTGCCCCAAGTGCACGGGAACGTGTGTCGGTGCTGTCGTTCGCGGCAGATGCGCAGGCGTTGAAAAGCACGCTCGTCTTACGCGCGAATTTGACCGGTTGGTGCCAGTTCTCCCGCGTAGCGAGAAGCGGCCTTGCGCAAGCCGCGTCATGATGTTTGGAGAAGAGGGGGAGAGAGAGAGAGAGAGAGGGAGATGTTTTTCCTTGCCCGACTCCCCGTCTGCTCTTCTCCCTTCTCCTGCCTGTTCCCCCTCTGGAGGCTTCTGGAGATCACCGCAAGTGCCCAGAGGCCTTTGTAGAGGCTCGAGAAGACCCAGGAGTTGCCACAAAAAATCCGACCTTGAATCATGCATCCCTTGACCCTGCTTTCCCTTCCCTGATCTTCCTTATGTACATCCTTTCCCGTCCCTCCTCATACTTCCCTCGTCCTCCGTTTCGCCCGACCCCGTTTGCCTGCCCCTCGCTTCGCCTTCCTTCCTCCTTTCCCTCCATCTTCCTTCCTCTCCAGTCCCCCTTTGTCCCCCTCCACCTTTCCTCATTCCTCTTCCCCTCCCCCTCTCTCCTCCAGCCCCTTTCCCCTCTACTCCATCTCCGCCTCCCGCCGTTCCCTGCCAATCCCTGTCCTGGCTCCCCCATCCCTCCTCTCTCGTCTGGCGGTGGCAGCTTCGCCAATCCGTTCTCCCCTCCTCCTTCCCTTCGCCATTCTCTCCCCTCTCTCCCTGGTCCATCCTTCGCCCTCCTCCCCCGCCTCCTGCATCCTTCGCCCCCCTCCCCCGCCTCCATCCTTCGCCCTCCTCCTTCGCCCTCCTCCATCCTTCGCCCTCCTTCCCTTCCCCCGCGGCCCGCTGCCGGGCGCTCCGGCAGGAGAGAGAGATCATCGACGTCTCCTACGAGGCGTTCCGGGACGACGACGGCTACGTCACGACCCAGCGCCTGCGAGAGGCGTTCGCGACCATCGGGGCCCTCGGCGACGTCAACGACGAGGACATGGCGAGGCTCATCGACGACATCGACGAGAGCGGGGACGGCAAGATCGACGAGGACGAGTTCCGAAGCGTCATGACGCGGAAGCTCCTAGGGGAGGACGACGATCCTGGGCGGCTCGCGCCTTCCCCCCCCCCCCCCCCCCCGGCTTCCCAGGCAGTCTTATATGGTGGCAGCGGCGCCGACGAGGCGGAGGAGGAGGAGAGGAGGAGGAGGAGGAGGAGGAGGGGAAGGAGGAGGAGGGGATGAGGCGTAGGAGCGGGGAGGAGGAGGAGGAGGAGAAGGAGGAGGAGGAGGAGGAGGAGGAGGAGGAGGGGAAGGAGGAGGCATGGGATAAGGCGTAGGAGCGGGGAGGAGGAGGAGGAGGAGGAGGAGGAGGAGGAGGAGGAGGAGGAGGAGGACAAGCTAGGCGAGCTCGCGCCATACCTGGCATCCTACCCCCCCCCCCACACACACACACCCTTCCGTCCCTCCCATTGCGCTGAACTCTTGCGTATCCAACGACTGGGGTGTCTGCAGGAACCTGGATCGCCCAACGGGCTCCATCGTGTAGTGCGCAAACATGAGAGGGGGGGCTCTGTACACTGGAGGAGGTGGTGGCGGATGAGCAAGACGATGAGGGGAGGAAGAGGAGGATCAGCAGCAGCAGCAGCAGCAGCAGGAGCAGGAGCAGGAGTAGGAGACCAGAGGAAGGCGGAGGAGGGGAAAGCAGCATGCGGCGGCCAACGACGAGGAAGGATTCGGATCCAGAATTGTGGCCCGCTCTCAGGCGAAGGCGCAATTCCGAACGACGGGAGGAACGCGGCTACCCTGAAGCCGTTCTTGAAGGACCGAGTGCGTTCCGACCAACATGGACTTACGAAATGCCAACTCTGGCATTCTGGCGTACTAGAAAACCAGCACTCGAGAGAGAGGGGGTGGCACCGCCAGACATGATCGAGGCAGAGCCGGGGGAGTAGTTTCAGGTTCGGGGGCAACGATAGGGGGCGGGGATAGGCAGCACAAGGAGGGATGCGTCGACCCCCAATCGCCCATTGATCGCCGATAGGGGCCCGATAGCTCCAACCTGCCCAGGAACGTGCGGATTCACGGTCTGGGGCCTATCGCCGATTCATCGGCGATCTATCGCCGATTCCATGATAAGGAGGTGGCATGGGTTGAGGCGTAAGACTAGGGAGGAGGAGGAGGAGGAGGAGGAGGAGGAGGAGGAGGAGGAGGAGGAGGAAGAGGAGTAGGATGAGGTGGAGGAGAAGGATATGGAGGAGGAGGAGAAGGAGGAGGAGGACGAGGAGGAGGAGAAGGAGGAGGAAAAGGAGGAGTAGCTTTCACACTGGGCAGCTGCAGAGGAGAAGGAGGGCGCTGGAGCGTCTCTGGCCTGTGCGGGGGATCGGGCGGACCGTACCGCCCGCCTACGGACGCCTCGAACGTTCGCTCCCGCGGCGCTGCCAAGAAAAAGGGCGGTGGAGAGGAAGGCGGGGAGACCCAATCCACGGACGTCGCGAGAAGCTCAAGACGAATGCTTTTGGCATGTTTCGGCCTCTGAAGGCCTTCGCCAGGCCCCGGGAGCATCAAAAAACGACTCAGGATGCCAAACGGGTCCTGGGAAAGGTCTCCGGACCTCCGGGGGCCGACGTTGCGAGAAGCTCCCGACGTCGGATGGCGGCACAGATCCGGCCGAGCCCACCGCCCGTGGGCCGCGCTGGCACATCGGACGGCCGGCGGACTCTTCGCTGGTTCACGCGTTCGAGATGCTGGATACGAACAAGGATCGGGTGCTGCTAGAAGTGCCCCTGGCCCAAAGGTGCCCCCTGGATATCCGAGGAGGCCCCCGCGGCCTCCAGAGCACCCCTCACGAGTCCCAGAGGGAGGGCCCCCCTGGGGCTCCAAGATGGAGCGACGAGCTGGGGGGCACCTTTGGGCCAGGAGCACCTTCGGCAACCCCTGCGAGGACGGGTACATCCCGCTGCCCGAGCTCCGAGAGGTGCTGATGAAAGAAGGCCGGGCCCCGCCCGCCCCGATGCCTCGGGCCCGCGGCCGGCGTCCTTCTGCCGCGTTGGCGTCCCCAGGGCGGGACGGCCTGGCGGTTGTCGGGAGGGACAAAAAACACACAGACACAATTAATCGTCGACTTCCAGGAAAATATAGGGAAATATGGGAAGTGGGGGGGGAGGCGGACACCCAGAAAATATTGAAAAATATGTGGAATCCTGGGGTTTGTGTGTATTTATTCGTGTGTCCTTGGGCCCCTTGAGAATGCTCATGCTGGCGTAGCCCGGGCGGCCCGCGCGTGCGGGCCTGGCGGTTGCTCCCTTCGGCGTTCCCCGCGCGTGCGCGCGGCCGTCGTCTTCCCTTCGCCCGGGGGCGCCGGTAAGCGACCCGCGGCGAAGCAGTACTCCCGCGGAGGGGGTCGCGAGCCCAGGGGGGTCCACATCGAGGGAGCGTCGCGGCTTCGTGAGAGGTCTGGGTCGTCCCTCCCAGCTCCGAGGTCTCCCACTGCCCCTCCTTTATCCCCGTCCTCCTTTCTCTCCTTCTCCACATCGTCGTCAGCAACGCGGAGGAAGCGGGAGGAGGAATGCTCATCATCCACGCCCGTGCAACATGTATCCCAGATCCACCAATATCATAGTCTCCGAAGGTCCCTAAAGTCCTTCAAGGTCCAAGACGGTCTCACAGACAATACATCCAGAACTAAGTGTATGTACATGTGCATCTATGTTTCTAAAACTATACAAAATGATGTACATGTTCACATCGATGTGTGCATACGCGCACCACCTATGTTACGCCACACCGCTGACCTCTTAGGGCACATGGATGCCGAGATCATAGTTGATCGTAGAAGTAGGTTACGATGTTGCAAATACTACCGATGACGCCTACGGCGAACCACCGCCGCCCCCTACCCTTGTGGAAACGCCAATGTGGCCAAACGTTGGGCCAACTTCTGGATAAGCTAGTGGACCATGTGTTCCCCCAGCCGCTGTGGAAAGTTTTAGGGGAACGCGCAGGTGGGACGAGGGAGAGAAGGAAAGAGGAGCAAGAGGAGGCCTCTTGGGCTCCCCTTGGGGCCCTCGTGGGCCCTCCTGGGTGCTTGCTGGGAGCCTCCTGAGGGCCTCCTGGGGACCTCCTGGGAGCCTCCTGGGCCTCGTGGCGGCCTTTTTGGGGCATATGTTTCTCAGCTGTCTGATGGCGCTCCTCTCGAAAGCCGTCTTGGAAGCCCCTCTGGGCCGTTTTGGGGCCCTCTCGGCAAGCGGCCCAACGAGGGCCACAAGACGAGCCCCATTCAGTATTTCCTCAAGAGGCCAGCATCTTTTTCAGACTCGAGGGGAATCAGTGATGTTTGTTTCTTTCAGTTTCTTTTTCCGATTCGCTCTTGAGGCCTCACGATTGCCCCAAGATGGTACCACTGCCTTCCAGAGAAGTCAGCACCCCAGGCACCGCTTTGATAATTCAACCGGGGGTGGTGGATCGAATGGCCTTCGGCCCACCCCACCACCGTGCCTTGATTGTGGGTGAGAGGCCTCTTGGATAGGAGGGGTGGTGGTGCATCTTAGGGTGACCTGTGCTTATCTAGCCAACGGGCCAAGAATTACGAATCGTTTGCCTTGCAATTGGCATTCCAAGGAGGTGGGCCCTTGCGGCGAACGGCGCCCAGGAATCAAGAAGCGCTCTCTTCGCTCTTGGATTTCCGTTGAGATCTCGTGGGGGGGGGGGGGGGCTTCTCGGGGGGGGCCTCTTGAAGGCAGTCTTGAGGCCTCTGCGGGGCTGCCTCGGGACCTTCTTTGGGGCCTCTTTGGGGGGGGCTGTCGGGGCCTCTTGAGGGGACTCTTTGGGCCTCCTGGGCGCCCGGATAATATCAAAGTCTATATAGTCTGTATTTACTGTCTTCCCTCGAAGATCAAGTTTCCTATCTTCGATGCGTGGTCCCACCCCTTGGGGCCCTCTGGGGGCCCTCGTGGACTGTCTTGGGCGCCTCATGGGCCGCCGTGGGGCCCTCGTGGGCCGTCTTGGGGGCATCTTGGAACGTCTCGACGCGTCGGAGGCTCGACAGGTGGAGAGCCCCCTCCCAAACACACGAAGGAAAATCTATGATTTTGGTCACTCGGGGCCCTCCTGGGAAGGTTCTTGGACGCCTTTGTTGGACGTTTTGTGTGTGTGGTTGTGTGGTTGTGTGGTTGTGTGGTTGTGTGGTTGTGTGGTTGTGTGGTTGTGTGTGTGGTTGTGTGTGGTTGTGTGTGGTTGTGTGTGTGTGTGTTTTTTGTTCGGCCGACTGGACCGATTGTCCGGCGATTCGGGGCCCTCTTGGATCGTCCTCGGGGCCTCTCGGGACCCTCTTCTTGGCCCGTCTTTTGGCCATCTTGAGCCCGAAAAGGTAATGCGACAAAATGCCTTGGACCCCACAGGACTCGCCAGGAGTCCCACAGTGGACACGCGTGAAGCTCCAGGAGATTTGGAAATTTAGGGTTCGGGCCGTTTAAAGTACCTTCAGAGGTGAGGATTGAGCCTCAGGGGTTGAGCAAGGGACGTGGGGACACTCACTCCACTTCTTGCCACAGGGGCACCGTGGCAGATCCTCTTCCTTCTTGTCCTCTTCTTCCTCTCCTCTCCTATCCTCTCCATGTTTCCGCTTTCCGTGCTGTGAACCCCCATGGATCCAATTCGCTCTTTCCATTCCTGCCTCATCCATGTTCGTTCGCAACCGTCCTACGAGATCGCCGCCCATAAGACTGGTGTCCAGGCCCCCAGAGCGTCACGAAAGAGCCGTGGTGGTGGTGCTTGCGATGGGCCTCTCGTCTTTCATCGGGTCGTCGATTTTCTCTTCTCTTCTCCTCCTCCTCCTCCTCCTCCTCCTCCTCCTCCTCTTTCTCCTTTGTAGCCACTTTGGCGCAAGATGTCGATTCCAGTGGAAACGCAATGGGTACCACTTGTCCGCGGTAAGCTTCCATATTCCAGCGACCTCCTGTCGGCACAAGACCCGCTTCGCGCAGACGGCCTGGCGGGTAAACGAACGCGTTTCTCGTCCTTGTTAGTCTATTTGCTGTGCTTCTCATGAGCGAACGCGATCACAGGCAAAATGATCATGTTCTCAGGAACAAGAAAGAGCTAAAGGTCGCAGGAACCGTGCTGCAGATACTCCCCGTGTCGCTGCAGGCCTGCTGGTTGGTGACGAACAGCATCCCACTCCCGAGCCTGCTGGCGCTGGCGCTGGCGACCAAAACAGGAAGATCAACCTGGTGATGATGACGACGACAGATCTGATGATGATGATGACGATTACGATGACGATGACGATGATGACGATGATGACGATGATGGTGGTGACGATGATGATGGAAAACATGCCAGGTACCTCGGCCAGCTTGTTCGCACCCAGGTCATCGAACAACTCGCATCCACCCGTCAGA